GGCAGGAGGTGAGTCCTCACCAGTGCATGTCCAGCATGTCCACCTCCGCCGGTGGACAGAGAAGCCTTTCTGCTCCGGGGGCCTTGCCTCTGAGCTGCCTCCCTGGATGGTCACAGCCCACTGAGTCCCGGCACCTTCATTCCCATCTCTCTGCTCTGTGTGAACGTTAGTGTGTCCCTTGGGGACAGGGCCTCCAGAGTGCCAGGCAGCCCGAGGGGAAGGCGATGGGTGGCCCCGCCCCACCCCCTTGGGCTGCTCTGCATGGGCCCAGCTTCCAACGTGGCTGATGGCGGGGATCATGCCACTTCGGCTCAGCCAGACTCAGCCTCCTGATCTGCAAAGCGGAGATGGTGGCCCCCCTGCTTTCCGGGGTGGCTGCTGAGAGCATACACAGCACAGGCTGGAGGAGGCCACCCCTCTGCCTCTCATGTGGGCACCACCAGGGCGCCTTAGTGCCACCCTGGCCCCACCCACTAGGCTTTACGCCAGCCCCCAATGCCTGGGTACCAGGCCGCAGAGGGCAAAAGCCGTGCCTGGGGAACGCGCAGCCTGATCCCCCGGGCCTGTGGGTCCCCCTGCCCCTCACCTGGGCCTGGGAACTGCAGCTGGGGGTGGGGCGGGAGAGGCTGGACTTTGGGAGCACGGAGTAAGCAGTCTGCAGAAAGGAAGGCTGTAAGGAGCCATCAATTATTCCCAGGAATCGCCCTGACAGGAAAGGAGGGAGGCGGACCACAGGGAAGGGGACAGAAAAATAAAGGGAAGCCCCTGCTGGGCCTGCCTCATCAGCGTTTTCCTGAGACCTCAGGGGACACATCAGCTGTCACCCTGCCAGCCAAACTTAGGAAATATGTAGGCCATAAAAATCAAAGAAAGAAGTCTGCATCTAATTAGTACGTTACAAAGAAAAAAAAGAGAAGAGGCAACTCAGACTGAAAAATAAAATTAAAATCAAGTGGGCAGACTGATGAGCTGGCTTTCTTTATGAGGGTTTGTTTTTCACGGTCTTTGATGGAAGGGGAAGGGGGGATGGGAAACTCAGATGGGCTTTAGAGGCAGCCTGCACAGAGCCCCAGCTTGGCCCTTGCACTGCCAACACCAGAGTGGGGGTGGCCTGCAGGCCCTGCTGCACAGGGGCAGGCCACCTGCCGAGGGCAGACTCCCTATTCTACCCAGAAAGAAAGCTTGAAAATCCTCCTCAGTCCAATTGGGGACCTCCTCAAGCTAGGCAAGGTGGCTCAGCCTTAAAAGTCAGCTCCCCACCAGTGACCTCAGGTCCCCACACTAGCTTCTCTCCAGATCTCTAATGAGAACGTCAGCTGTCTGCCCGCTGGATAGCCCCACAGAACTCAATGCCCAGCACCCAGCATCCCATAGCCCTCTGCTGATGGGCTGAGTCATTACAAAGGCCCCTTAGGCTCTGACCTGCCTCTGGGTCTCTGCTCCCTGGAGCTCATCCCCTGAGGACACCCCACTCCCACCTTGGGAGGAAGAAGCCCTTCCCTCCCCTGAGACTCCCTGTGTTGTCTACTCTCCACTCCTGACCCGCTCAGCACACTGTTCACAACTCTAATGTAGCCCTTAGCATGTTTTAATTGGTCGTGAGTCTCTCCCCCACTGCACAGCCAGGGAACGCCTTAGGACAGGACTCTCGCTGCTGCTGCTGCTGTGTCCAGCCCGGACTCTGAGCTGGTCATGCAGGCACCTGTGCCCCAGTGGACTACAAACTCCATGAGGGTAGGTGCCAGGTGACACCTTTGGGGCACAGTACCTAGCACCGGCTCTAGCCCTGAGGAGAGTCTGAGTAGAAGGCTGCCAAATGAAGCTGCCACGAATGTGGGTTCAATTGAGACTGGTTAGAATACTGATGTGGGCTCCTGCCGTTGCGGGTGCAGAGGAAACACGGGCACAAGGCAGACAACGCCACACCACGGAGCTACGCCTTAGTGCAGGAGGCCCACAGGA